TTGGATTTGGAACCAAACTGTGGGGTTTTTTTTTTTGAGGGTTTGCTTGTAGGTGCTTTGGAGTAATTTTTCTGTTTCAGGTTTGTGACCTGGGCATTCCTGTCCACTTTATGGTTGGGTATTTTTTTTCTCTTCTCATTCTTCTAGTCTGCTTCCTGACTTTCAATTTTCTGCCAGTGCTCTGAGCACTTCTGAAGGAAATACAAATACGAACCTGGTACCTAAACCAGGGAGATAAAAAACAGAGAAAGAGAAGGATAGACCAATAAACCAATAATAGACCTAATGAACATTGATACTAAAATTTTAAATAAAATATCAACATACAAGTTACAATAGCATTTGAAAGATTGTACCCTATGATCAGTGTCATATATAATGGGCAGCTATGCAGCATAGTAGATGGAGTACCAGGCTTGGAGTTAGGAAAACTCATCTTTGTGAGTTCAAATCTGGTCTCAGACACTTGCTAGCTGTTTGACCCTGGGCAAGTCACTTAACCCTGTTTGATTCAGTTTCCTCATCTATAAAATGAGCTAGAGAAGGAAATGGCAAACCACTCCAGGATCTTTGCCAAGAAAACCCCAAATAGAGTCACCAACAGTTGGACACAGATGGAAATGACTCAATAATGCCGCTGTGACTAAGTTGTGTTTATACCAGGAATGCACAATTGGTTTACTGTAAGGAAGACTGTATAGATAGTTCTTGCTTTATGTAAATTTGCTTTACACAAATTTAACTTTATGTAGAGAATTCTGTATTCCAAAAAAAAAAAAAGAAACACAACTATATTAACTTTACTGTGCAGCACTATGATCTCTCTCCACTTCTGCTCACATCTTCATGCTCTGTGGCTTCTGAGACCTCTGCATAGAGAGAGGAGATCTTTGCTCCAATCCACCTACTGTCCACCATCTGGTCCCTATATGTTTTTCTGTATTTGGGTACCAAGTGTCTATCCCTGGGGGTGTTGTGCATTGTCTCCTCTATATGTCCATGTCCCAAGTATTTGCCCCTCTCCCCTCCCCCCATGTTCTTCCTCTCAATTTGGCCAGGCCCCACGTGGCTGGCCTGGCCCCATTCTGTTCCTCCTCACTTCTCTGTCCCTAACTCCAATGGGTCCTTGAACCATGTGCTGGCCCTCTCCCTCCACTAGCAAGGCCCTGTTCCAGGCTCCCTTACCCATGTCCACAGGCAAATTTTCATTATGTAAAAATCACTTTAAGCAGAAGTCTGCAGAACAATCTATTTATGTAAAGCGAGACGTGCCTGCAAATATAATAAATCATGTTTATATTAACATATAGGGAAAAAAGGCTCTTTTTTTTTTTACTAAATCCCACAACCATTTCAGTTAAAAACACTAGAAAATATAGGAATAAATAAAGAACTGACACAAATATGTAAGAACAAGAGCCATTCCCCAATAGTTAATGGTCAAACAGTCTACACAGGCAATTTCTCTCTCTCTCTCTCTCTCTCTCTCTCTCTCTCTCTCTCTCTCTCTCTCTCTCTCTCTCTCTCTCTCTCTCTCTCTCTCTCTCTCTCTCTCTCTCTCTCTCTCTCTCTCTCTCTTTCTCTCTCTCTCTCTCTTCCTATCTTTAACTTCTTCCTACTTACTCTTTCTTTGGGGGTAGGTAAGAAAGGGAAAAGGGAAATCTGCATTTATACAAAAACCCCATTTATTAAAGATGAATTTTTTCTGCCTTTTACAATTAACCAAATACAGGCAATTTCAAATAAAGAAATACAAGCTATTAATAATTATGTGAAAATTGCATCATCTGGAGAATGATCAGAGAAATGCAGATTAATACAACTCTGAATCTCCATATGACACTTATCAGATTTGCAAAGATAATAATCAGTTGTTAGAAGGGTTGTGGTATGACAGCCATATGAAAGCACTTTTGGTGGAGATGTGAATTGATTCAAACATTCTAGAAGAACACCTCACATTTTGTCAAACTGTATATACCTTTTCTCCTCCCCCCCCAAAAGAAGTCGAGGACAAAGGGAAAGAATCTCCATTTATAATAATATTTATAGCAGGACTTTTTGATGTAACAAAGAAAAAATATTTTTAAAAGGTGCCCATCAATTGGGAAATGGCTAAACAAACTGCAGTATCGAATGCAATAGAATTTTTATTGTGCCATCAGAAGTGAAAAATATGATGAACTCAGAGGAAGACTAATATGAATTGCTTCATAAAAAATGAGCAGAGGACCAGAAGAACAATTCAGGTGATAACCACAATACTAATGTGAGAAGAAACAACTTTGAAAGGACCTCAGAATTGGTCATTAAGGTTTTTTTTAAGATCTTATTCTCAGACAATTTTTCTTATATTGAAGGCAAAGTACGTCCTTATTCCAATTTCTCCTGCTATCCCACGATCAAACAGAAAAGATAGTTTTCCTTCCAAATGTCAGCTCTTCCTGTATCTGAAGACAGCTATCAGCTAGGCAAATATCTCTAATTACCCCCAATTGATGCTCACATAGCCTCGTTCTGAATCCCTTCTTTGGCACATAACTCCAGTAGTTAAAGGGATCTAGAATCTCACCACAGTAGGCACAGGATTCATTGGTACAGAGCACAGGATTAAAGGCTAGGGAACTGAATGGGATCATCTAGTGCAACCCTTCATATACAAATGTTAACCATGATACTTGGGGATGAGAGGTGACTTGAATGTATTGAAAGTACATTTGGTAGTAAGTGGCAGAACCAGGATTCAAAACTAGGTCTTTTGACTCTAAACGAATACACTTTTAAATCACATGAAACTATTTGTTGTGGGAGAAAACTTTACTATTTATTAAGAACAATCTCTGTGAGTTTTCTTAAGGACTCTAGAAACAATGAGGAAAGTGACAAGTCTATTAAAACAAGAGGTAATTTAGAAAGTTAATGCCTCTAGGAGTTAGCATCCCTCATCTTCATCTAAACCTGAAAGGAGTCAGGCTCCCATCACATTTCTTGGACTCTTCTTTCCTCATTTTATTTTGTCAGAGGGTGTTAATCTTATCTCCTCATTCCTTGGGCTGCTACCATATTGTTTTGGCCTTTAAGGTGAAAAGAAAGCTGATGACATTTAAAGTCCTTCACAACTTGATTCCAACCCACCTTTCTGGGCTTATTATATGGTACTCTCAGACATGATCCTTCATCTCTCATATGTATAAGAGCTGGGAGTGAGTTGAGAAGAAGCTAAGGAGATGATAAGGAGCAGGAGAAGGTGATAAGGAGAAGGGGAGGAGGAGAAGGGGAGGAGGAGAGAGGGAAGAGATGCTGGCAGACCTCAGAAGCAGATAATCTGCACAATAGAGAGCTAAACCTGGATTCAGGAAGATTTGAAGTAAAATCCTTCCTCCTCCTCCCCTACTTTCCAGCTATATGGCCCTAGGCATGTCCTTTAATCTCTGTCTGCCTCAGTTTTCTCATTTGTAAAGTGAGGACAATAACAGCACCTACCTCTCAGGGCTCAACTGGGACAATATTTGTAAAGCACTTAGCACAGGGCACATAGTGTTGTTGTTCAGTCCTTTCAGTTGTGTCCAACTGTCTGTGACCCCATTTGGGGGTTTTCTTGGCAAAGATACTGGATACCATTCTCTTCTCCAGCTCATTTTACAGATGAAGAACTTAGGCAAACAGGGTTAAGTGACTTGTCCAGGGTCATACAGCTATTAAGTAAGTGCCTGAGGGTGGATTTGAACTCATGAAGATGAGTATTCCTGATTCCAAACTCAGTGTTCTATCCACTGCACCACCTATCTGCCCTACAGAGTAGGTGCTATGTAAATGATTGTTTCTTTCCTTCCTGTTCCTCACATAGGGCACTCCATCTCCTATCTCTGTGGCTGGAATGAATTCTCACTTCAACTCTTACAACCGAATATTTCCGTCTAAACTGTGATCAAACCACATCTTTTTAAAAAAATCTTATTTTGAACTCAAAATCCAAAAAAGAAGCATTTCCATGTGCACAGCAGATCACAAAAAGAGTATCATGTATAAACTGTGAAGCTCCACTTTGTACTGATTTTTTAAAAAGTGCATTAATATTAAGGCCACACATTACTTTCAAAACCACCCTGCTTATCTGTCAAGCAACATCTTCTACGTGAAGTCTCTTCTGATTCTTAAAGCTGCTAGTGCCTCGTCAACAATTTAACCTTGTACCTATCTTACATATACTTATTTTTGAACATGTCTGCTTCTGATAGAATGCAAGCTCTTTAAGGGTAGAGATAGCTTCATTTTTGTCTTTGTATCCTAAGTACCGAGGACAGTGACTGGTATGTTGCAGGTACTTAATAAATAACTTGTTACTTGCTTGCTTGATACTGGATACTAGCTATTGCCATCTCTTGGGATTAGAGGACGTATCATATAGATATGTTTGGCTAGTCAGGGGTTTGGATTCAGTCAAAGGGCTACCCTTGAGGACCTAGAGGGCCACCTACCCTGGGCTAGGTCATCAATGGATTTGGGAAAGGCAGATGAGCCTGAACCCTACAACAACTGCAGGAGCAATAAACTACAATACTAATCCAAGTGTCCTTAACCTGGGGTCCCCGGAATACCAAGGAGTCTATGGGTAGATTTCAGGAGATCTGTGAATTTATATGTTAAAAAAAATCACATTTATTTTCACTACCATCTAATTTTAATTTAGCATTTCTTTAAATTATTATTTTTTTCAAAATATCCTTTTTAAAATATCCTTCTGAGAAAGGGTTCATAGTCTTTACCAGACTGCCAAAGGGATCCGTGACACATAAAAAGGCTAAGAACCCTTACTCTGGAGGATGTATGAGTATACTATATGACCAAAGGATGGCTCATAGAATGCTTGCATATAGTGTGTGAAGCACCATGACCTTATTTGGGCCCCAAACTTTGTGCTAGCATTTTCTGGGAAGAGGGAGGAAGTAAGGGTGTGGGGACAGGGGGCCAAGTGTTTCCTCATTGTGTTCTATTTGTAGTACAAACACAGACGCCATGAAACAGACTCAGGCTACTCCAGAGATACCTCTACCTTGGACAGTGACAAGTACAACTCATGCCTCAAGAAGACAAGACACCCTAAATCCCATCCCTCTTCACCGCACCCCTAGTCCCAAGAGTGTGTGTCTTCAAGTTACATTTGGATTTCCCCAACCTTGCAGTCTAAACTGGCCTGTTCCCAGCCACCTTCGTGCTTCCCATCTTCTATAGGGAAGACAAAGTGGCACCCTATGTCCCTTAAAGCTAGAGCTCTTCCTCTGCTGATTATCTCTAATTCATTTTATATATTTGTTTGTATTTTGCATGTTATCTCCCCTTTTAGACTTTCTTGAGATAAGGATTATCTTCTTATTGGGGAAAAATTCTTTCCTTTGGGGGAAAAAAAGTAATTCACATTAAAAAAAATAGCTAAATGTAGTAGACAGAAAGTTGGATCTGCCTTTAAATCCCTGCTCTTTCACTTATTACCAGGTTAAATTTGGACAAACCTTTTCACCTCTATGCACTTCATTTTCCTAATTAATAAAATTAGGACATTAAACAAAAAGCAGAAGCTCCAGTTGTTCTCTATTATTTCAGAATAATATGCATACTCCTCTGATTGGCATTTAAAACCCTTCAGTATCTGGCTCCAGTGTACCCTGAGAATTTCATAGGATAATATTACTCTCCTCTATACTCCTTGTATTGCAGCCAGACAGAATTACTTGCTCTTCTTCACTCACTACATTCCATTCTCTTTCTCTGGGTTCTGGAACAGGTTTGCCCCAGGTCTGGAATATACTCCATCCTCTTTTCTGCTTCTAAGAATTCCTGAATTTCTTCAAGGCTCAGCTTAAGAACCACCAACCTTTAAGAGGCCTATCCTGGGATAAAGATTATGATAATAGAAAAAATGGACAATTTGATTCTATGAATGAATGGATAAGACATTTATTAAGTGTTTATTATCTGCAGAGTGGGGCAGCAGGGCAGGACAATGGATAGAGTGCTGGGCCTGGAGTCAAAAAGAACCGAATTCAAATTCAGCCTCAGACGCTATCTATGTGACCCTGGGCAAGTCACTTACCCTTCCTCATCCAGTATCTTTTGCCAAGAAAATCCCAAGTGGGGTCCTCAAAAGTCAGACACAATTGAACAGCAGCACAAAGCATTGTACCAAGGGGAGATATAAAGAGAAAAGTAAGCCAGCCTCTGCCCTCAAGGAACTCACATTCAATTGGGGGAGACAACACATATGGAAAGCTGAAGCTGCAAATCAGATGGAAAAGTCCTTAGTGTGCAAAGGCAGCACAAGTGTTAATGCCTTTTGTCATTTCCACTGATAAAATGTTATCAGTGTCTGATACTGAGCCATTTGACAGAGGGCTTGGTAGCTGCATGGGGGCTGCTTCCCAGGATTGCATTTTACTAACACAAATTTTTTTACATTAAATTGAATAACTTTTCCATATGTAGAAGTGACAGAGTTAGAATCAGACAGTGAATTACTAAACTTTGCTTACCTTTTGATCCAGTTACACTACTGTTGTCACATACCCTCAAGGAAGTCGAGAACAGAGGGAAAGAATCCCTATGTACAAGAATACTTGTAAAAAAGCAACACTTTTGTTTTAGTAATGAATTAGAAACAAAATAGTAGCCCAGGGTAGTAATTCTCAAACTTTTTGGTTTCAGAACCCCTTCACCCTCTTAAAAATTATTGAGGATCCCAAAGAGCATTGGCTTATATGAGTTATTTTCACTAATATTTACCAGTAGAAATAAAACTGTCATATTTTAAAATATTTTATTAATTCATTTAAAAATAGTGATAAACCAATTGCATGTTAGCATAAAATATTTTTGATAAAAAATAAATATATTTTCAAACAAATCCAAATTTAGTGAGAAAAGTACATTTTTGCAACTTTTTCTAATATCTGGCAAAGTACAAGAAGTTAGAGAGGTGATGAAAAAATTCATTAGCACCAACATTTTAACTACAAGAATGCTTCCTAAGAGCTGAAATAAGTGGGATGGAACTTACCACTATGCTTCAGTTCCTAAAAGGAAGTGGTGCTGCTGATCCAAGGAGAATCCCAGCCCTCACCTCTGGTTGGATGTGTGACTTTGGTGGCCATCCCTTGATGTTTCCTAAACCTGCAGCCCTGGAACCTCATCTTATCATGTGCTTCATTGTGTGCCTTGGACCAAGGCTCAGAGATCTGTCTCAGCCCCATCTGGAGCAGACACAGGAGAGGCTCTCATCTCCCGGTCTCCTCCCTTCTTCCCTCTCCCCTAGGGCTCCCTCCCCCCTTCATAAGCCGTTCTTCAACTTAAATAATAAACGCTGACTTATGAAAAAAAAGGCATAGAAGAAATAAAAGATACAGAAGGGGATATAGAGATATGGTGGATTTTTTTTTACAACCCTTTAAAACAATGCAGAAATACTTCAAAAATTACAAAATGGATCGGAGTTTTTTAAGAAATTTTCTTCCTTATTTTTTCTTTATGTCTTGAATGTGTTTGTTGATTATTGTTAAGGTCTTTTTTTTTATTTTTAAAGATTTTTTAATTTGAAACAAAGTTTCAAATGGAAAATATGCTTGGCGGTGTTCTCTTACTGAACCTCTGGAGGCCAGGAGAGGCTGCCCTCAACTTATCTTTAGTATTTCTGCTTCTTCATTCTCCCATTTCAGAAGAGCCTCGCTCAGGTACACATATCAAGTTTCCCTCTTCTGGTGTTGAAACCTTTGTCTTCGCTGACTTATGGACTATTACATTTGGGAGGGAATTTAGAGATGATCATGCCTGATTGCTTTTTATAGATGAGGAAGCTGAGGCCCAGAGAGGGAAATGGATTTGGCCAAGGTCACACAGTAAGGAAGAACAGATGAGAACCTAGAACTTGTTGAGTCTCAAGGCAGGGCTTTTGCCTTTAAAACTATTACCTCCACAGCCACTAGGTGGTGCATTGGGTAGAGCACTGGTCTTGGAGTCAGGAGGACTTACATTCAAATCTGGCCTCAGACACTTGACACTTACTAGCTGTGTGATCCTGGGCAAGTTACTTACGCCAATTACCTTGCAAAAAAACCCCCCAAATCCCCACAAAACCGAAACTATTGCCTCCTATTCTTTCTCTCCCGTGCCAAGGGCTTTCCTCTCTGTTGCCTTGATTTACTAGTATCCCTTCCTTCTCTGCCTGAGTTCTTCAAGGTTAGAAGGACCCGGACTTTCACTTCTCCCCAGCCCCATTATCTCTGAAATAAGCAATCTGAAACCTCAGGAGGTTTTCTAAGGATTTTCAGTTTTACGAACAATAAGCAAAGTGATAAGACAAAGGATAAATTTGGAAGTAAGACTATAAGCCTGTAGGAGTTGGATTCCATGATCTTCATTGGTACATTTAAGGAAACAGCTTCCCACGCATCTACTTCCATGATTCCTTTTTCCCAGTTTTATTTTGTTTGGGGGAAGTTGGAGCCATGTTTACATCTTTGGGGCTGGTGCTCATCAGTTTTCCCCAACCTTTGGCAAGGTTCCCTTTCCCTGGATTGATTTTAGGGGTGAGACACTGGTGGCCTTAGGGGCTAATGGTTCACTTATATCCCAAAGAAAAGGTACAGCTGGTCTCTCCATCTCAGTGACTATTCTGCTTCACACAGGGAAATTCGTTAGTCCTTCCAACCATCCTCTTTCTGGGGCCCAGAATCCCTTCTACAGTTTGATATGTAGAACAGAGTATTTTCAGTTATCTCCTTACCTGGGAGACCCAAGACTCTCCTGATACCTCTCCTTCTTGCTTCTTGGAGGTATCTGTTCTCTCTCCAGATTCATTGGATTTATTATTCGTTTCTGCTTTCTAGCCAAAAAAAAAAATCTGCCAAAGAGATATAAGGCTTGTCGCCTGCACCTCCACAGGGAGGAGCCTAAATGGTCATCTGGGAAGCAGGAAATGAATCTTTAGAGAAAATGATCCGAGAATGTCCCCTACCCCTGCACTTGACCCAAGAATGAAAGCTTTGTAGAGGGCTGTGGGGAGCCAAGCTGCCTTTGCAGAAGAGCTGTGTTAGGAATGGGAAGCTGGAGTGGTCCCTCCACTTCCTCAAAGGTTAAGTGACTTGTGTTACACAATAAGGAAATGTTTGAGCATGATTTAGAACTCAGGTCTTCCTGTTCTGGGCCATTGCTGTAAGCATTGCACCAGTTTTGTTGTTGTTCAGTCATTTTCCAGTCACCCCTGACTCTTCATGACCTGATTTGGGGTTTTCTTGGCAAAGATACTGAAGTGGTTTGCTATTTCCTTCTCCAGCTCATTTTACAGATGAGGAAACTGGGGCAAACAGGGTTAAGTGATTTGCCCAGAGTCACACAGCCAGTAAGTGTCTGAGGCCAGATTTGAACTTACAAAGATGAGTCTTTCTGATTCCAGGCCCTGTATTCTACCCACTGTACCACCAAGCTGCTATCCTATCCTATGAGAAACTCTTCTGGGGCATCCTGCCACAGAGGCAGATTACTATACCATGAAAGCTAGAAGGCACATTAGAGATCATCTAAGGCAGACTTCTCATTTTTCAGACGAGGAAACTGAGGCTTAGAGAAAGGAAATGACTTGCTCAAGTTTCCTGCCCTGCCCTTCCTCTCACTGCTGGATATAGAGGAAGATTCTTTAGGCTTCCAAATGCCCAAGGGGCTATAACCTATAATCTAAAACGTAGTCTGTTACGTTCCCCCCACAAAAAAAAAGGAAAATCATACAGTAGTCAACTCTGTTATCAAGCCTTTCTGTAGAAAACCGTTGCTTCATCTATCCTTAAAGTATTTCTCTTCTAGGAGGACCTGTCAAAGCTTTTTTTTCCCTTTCCTTACTGAACTAATCTTCAAGAACCTAGGATCACCTCAATTCCATGGTAAAGTACTAGAGGCGAACTTTACGGGAGGAATGATGATGATGAAAGCTTTAATTTATATAAAGGTTTCTGTTTCATGAACTGTTTCATAAGGTATTTTTTAAAAAATTTGTTTCAAGTAAGAATTTGGACAATGAATGGAGTCAGCAGGTGTGGATTCAAATCTTACCTTTGACAATTACTGCTTATATGAACATAGGCAAGTGATTTTACCTGCCAAAGGCTTGGTTTGCCCATCTATACAATGAAGGGATTGGTCTAGATCAGAAGTTGGCAAATTTGGACCACCATCTATTTTTGTACAGCCTAAGAATGGTTATTACACTGTAAAATATACACACATGTAAAAACCCTCCTTAGCCCAAGGGCCAAAATTTGCTGATCTCTGATCTAGAGGGCTTCTGAAGTCTCCTCCAGATCCATATTTATGTCTTATGATTGTGTGAATGATCTCACAAAGCAGGGACTTTCCACAGTGTGTTTCAGAGGAAAAAGCCCCACTCAGATAAGCAATTTATCTAAGGTCACATAGCTTACAATTGGTGGAGGTTGGCCTCAGATTTATGTCACAGGCTGCTAAATTCACATACTTAAACCTG